TCGTTAATTTAATTGAACATTATATCTGATTAAATACCGTTCATGTTATGCACACTTCATTCAACAAAATATATAACATATATGTGATCTACTTTAATAAAAGTTTTTGTGTTAATTTTTAATCAATATTTAATTTAATAAAATTCTTTGTTGAATTGATTTATTAAATTAAATATTTTGTTTGAATCTGTAATAGCAAGTTGTCATATTTTTTGAGAAGATTATAGAGTTTTCTAATAACTCCTAAACAGTTAATATTCATTGTCCTAAAACATACACATTATTTAATTAATTTGTCCGAGTATTTCATATTTTAGACACATATCTATTACACAATAGTAATTTAGCTCAAGCTTCATAATTAACTTCATATAAGTTTTTATGGTAGAAAATATCAAAATTAGATTTCAGTTCACTAAAAAGTAAATTCAGAAAGATTATATTTATAAGAATGACTTTTTAACAGCTAAAATAACTTGTATTTCTATTTGGTAGTTACAATACTAGCATATAATTTATATAATATACAATTTAAAATACGGTATATCAAAAGTATACTTGTTTTTAAATATTCTTCAAATATGAGTTTTTGAAATCATGTTGACTTTGTTATATATCATTGTTATATATTACATTAGCTTTAATGTAATTTTGAATGTGATTTTAAAGATATAAATTACTGTTATTGTGAAATATTTCTACCATTTTTAAACATTGCATAAAATAATATACCGAATAAAGTTTATAAGTAAACAATAAGTTAACTGTATAAATATAATTGGATAGTTATTTTTTTCTATACAATACTCGTTCTCATTGCACAATAAAAACATAATATATATTTAAAATCCTAAATAAATGTATAGCTATTTTTAAATTTAAATTATTTGCATTTTGTCTGTTCTCGTCTATATTTATTTATCAATGCCAAACACTATTTACAATAAGCTTATATTACATATCTTATAATACTTACAAATACAATATATGTATAATAACTTTGTGCTCATAATCTAAAATTGAATTTGAAATTTGTTACTAATTATAAAAATGTTTGTAATGAGTAGGAACATCTTACCATAAGGCACCCTTTGAAAACACATACAATCCAATTTGAAATGTTTAACCATAAGAAAACAAAAGTAAATGTTTAACGCTTTTCAAACTTATGTAATAAGACGTGAAATGTATTGTGTTTTGCCTCTAAATCAATCCCTAATACCTATAAATCAAATATCAAATTTTGGCCATTTTAGAGGTCAAATACTTTTATCAGAAAATAGTAATTAGAAGTTTTGTTTCTTATGTCATAACCTTCGAGGTATGGATGATAAAATGTTCCTGCTAATTACTTGTATTTCCCCGGGTAGTGAACATGATTACGTTTCACTGCCAAACCATACCTTCTATCGATCCATTGATAAAAGAGTTTCAAATCTATAATTATATCAAATTATATAAGAAGTGAGAACTCGATGCCTGAGTGCAGTGTTTGACATGTGATAATGGCTTTATTTGCCAAAGGGATTGACTCACAAATTGGCAACCCTACTCATTTTGATTAAAGTCGACACTTAAAGAATATTTTCGCTTAAATGCTATAAAATGATTTTTTTGACACTTTAAAACATTTTTATGTGATCAGAATTTCTATTTTATAATCCATATAATCTTGATGTTTGACGTGTAACCAATTAAGATATTTATTTTATGTATTAAAACACAATTACTCAAATAAATCTTTAACTTCAAATTCCTTACAGTGATATATAATATTATATAATATTACATTATATATTACATATAATATACATTATATAATATTGTTTGTGTAAATCTGTTTGGTCTCATAGTGCCATTTGGTCACAAATTATTAATTATTAAAGTACTCAAGTTTGCGGTCCTAATGCAGACAATAATCATGGTTATAGTATAAATAGTTTAAACATTGTAAATTCAATGCTTACGGAATATTTTTGCTAACAAAATATTTATGAGAATTTAATGTTTAAAACAATGAAAAATTTATAGTGCTTTAGATTTATACTGTACATTATAAATAGCATATAATTCTGTACTTATGTTGTTTTTATAATTTATTATGTCTTTCAATAGGTATTTGTTGATTGTATTAACAGTTTATCGTAGTTTAGTTTGATAAGAAATTCATTTTATTTTTGAACATTATACTATTCTACAAATTTTCTCTCTCCCTCTCTCTTTCTCTCTCTCTCTCACTCACTCACTCACTCTCACTCTCTAATGGAAAAGCGATCAATAATTTTATTTTACAAAACAAAACAATTTCTCTTTATTCCCAAGCGATTTTTACTTTAATTTATTTATTTTTAAAAATAGTTTTATATCCAAAATGAAAATATTCTCAACAATCCTGTTGTTTATCTTAACAAGCAAAATTAAATGTTTCCTGGAAGTAGTGATGACATAGTAAAGTTTCAGTTATTTTGATTGTAAAAGTTTTATTGATTTGACGTATAATTATTATAATCTACGCAATATACTTTATAAAGTGTGACATACAATCAAACATTTTGAATTTAGTGTTAATTTTATGAAATCATTAAACCATATAATAATTTCTGCAACCATTATAAAAGTTAATTTTAATAAATTTTAAAAGCATCTCTTTAGAATATTTTGATTATAGTTATTTAAAACTAATTTAAAATATAATATACAACTCTGTTTTATATAATGCATTAATGTTTATTTTATTACATTTTACTACACTATTCAATTTAATGTATTTATACAAAATATGAAGATATAGAAAGTTAGTGTTATTGGGGTTACAAGAATATATAGAATTTGTACGAGTTTTAGACTTTCATACTATGTTACTTAAATGCCATACAATAATGTAGTAATTAATTCTGTATATAATTAGTGGTAAGTATAAACTATATGAACTAAGTGCAGTATAGTTTCATTCAATCGGTAAGAGTTTGCTTTTAAAGTCAAACTAATCCCTAGATTCAATACATTGAGCATTTAAAATGTATTATAGGATCTGTTTTTCGGTACATATAAAGAGAATATGATTGAGAAAATATGTTTGTTTGTGTGGACGCCCACATTGGTATATGTGCTAACAGACCAGTCATATTAAACATTCCTCATTACAGTTGTGTGCCATTTATTTGCGCTAAAGAATAACATAAATATTAATAGATTAAACATTGATGACTTATTTAACTTATATACATATTTCACATTGAAATCTCCAAAAGTTTAAAGCGAAATAATACATGAATTCATAACATTTATAGATAACATACAGTATATACTACTCAACGGCTCGTGCTTTTGCTTCAAAATTACTAATAAATTATTTATTTTTAAAACTGTCAAAAAATAGATGAATAAAAAATGATATATACCGTATTTGCATTTAATTAAATAAAATGCTGCTTTATTTAAATGTGAAAAATGTGAAAATATATATTTATATTCAAATAAAAAATGTCAGAATAAAAATGAAATTAGATTTTAAAATAATGTTTAATTAAATTATTTCCAAGCGGTATTTCTGACATCGAAAATAATAGTCCGAATTTGAGTCTAAATCATATACAGAATATTCTTTCATATACTGCACTGCACTTTTATTTAGTATTTGAACAATTTTTAGCAAACTATCAAACAGTTGTCTAAACTTCCAGAGGATTAGAAAACAAATTTTTGTTTTTTATAAGGATTTGATTCTAAAAACAAAACTCTGCTTTAGTTAAACAAACGATAGATAAACAATTGAGCACAAGATTTACTGTCAATATTAGATTTTGAAAGAGAGAGAGAGAGAGAGAGAAGGGAGAGAGAGAGGAGAGAGAGAGGAGAGAGAGAAGAGAGAAGAGAGAGAGAGAGAGAGAGAGAGAGAAATCTAGTTGAATTAAATTGATATTTAATTATTATTTCTGTTTAACTAAAAAGTGTTAATAACATAAGAACTGTATGATAATATATTTGGTTTATAATATGTTTAGTGGCATAATTAATAAATCTTTAATTAAATAAAAACATATTTAGTTTATAAGTATTATATATGCTATAAACTGGGTTTTTATCAGTAATATATAAGTTCTTGTAAAGCAAAATCATATTTCTTATAATATCGAGTGTCCCAGCGTATTAACAGGATTTTAAATTGAAATTAAAAATATTTACAATTATATTATTCTAACAAAAACTATACCAAAATGTTGGATATTTATTAATATTTTATGTATGATTCATAAAATATTTATAAATTGCCTACCCTGGTCATAATTATAGTTTTACTGCATGCATGTCTGTTATTTATTCATAAAAATCGCAAAATAGACATGAATGCAGTAAAACTAAAATTATGATCAGGTAGATAATTAGTTAATATTTTATGAATCGTACATTTTGGATTTCCAACATTTTGGTATAGATTTTCTTGGAATAATATAATTGAAAATATTTTAAATTTCAATTTAAAATTCTGCTAATACGCTGGGACACCCGATATAATAGTTAAAATACAGTATTATATAAAATATTAAAAATATTTATTTAAAGATTTTAATTATTGTTTGAAGAAGTATTTTAACTACTAATTATAGATTATTTAAAAACTTTAATAAAGTTAGAGTTCAGTTAGATTTGCTTTTAGAAGTGATAAAAACATGTTTAAAATTAGATTTTTTTGAAAGTACCATTAAATAATTATATTATATAAAATATATAATATATCATATCAAATTGCAATTTGTTTGTTAATTAGCGAGTCATTATATATTATTTATACTATTTAACATAACCTTAATGATTTTTTAGTAAAAAATCTAAATTAAAAATAATTTATGTTTAATTAAATTATTAAGTTTATTATTCTTATTATATCCCAATAAATTTATAAATTGTTAATTATGTTTTTATTTATTAATTTATAATCCAAAAGAAGTCAAAACTTTTAGACGAAAGAAGAAAGAAATGCTTGAAATTTGATGAAAAAGATGTCTCAATACATGAACTCCCAGTCGTTGGGATCAACTGAATCGACGGCAATGGAGACCATAACAGGGATCTGTAATCTGACATTAGGCTTGGATTCATCAGACTTGTGTAACAAAACGGCTGAATTGGCAGAAGAGATAAACGAAGTCGAAGAGATGTACCGAACGCTGAGTATAGTAGTGCTCATCCTTTTTGGGATTATCGTAATCGTGGGTCTATTTGGGAACGCATTGGTGGTGATTGTGGTGGCGTGTAATCCACAGATGCGGTCGACGACAAACTTACTTATAATCAACTTAGCCATCGCTGACCTACTCTTCATTGTGTTTTGTGTACCCTTTACTGCCTGGGCGTACGCTTTTCCTTTCTGGCCGTTTGGAAACGTGTGGTGCAAAATAGTACAGTACTTGATCGTGGTCTGTGCCTACGCCAGCATTTACACTGTATGTTCAATACTATTGATTCAGTTATTGCATACAATTTGCTTGCTATCATTCTACCGATAATTCAATAGTGAATGCATTATTGCAGTCAATTCCTCAATGATTTTCAATTTACTTCATTTAATATTAAATAATGAAGGCTATAAATTGTTATAATTTTAGTTTTATAGCAATATTTCATTCAATTAAGACTTAATTTCTATAATTACAGTAAGATTTATATGATAATTGAATGTCTACTGTATATGTGTTATAGTTGGTGCTGATGTCATTGGACCGATACTTAGCTGTTGCTCATCCAATCCAATCGATGTCAATCCGAACCGAAAAGAACGCCTATTTGGCCATATTCTTGATGTGGATCGCTATAGTGTTGGCCTGTATACCGGCGCTCATGAGTCATAGATTGATCCCAAATGACGGAACAGATGAACAGTTCTGCATGTTTGACGAAGAATACAATCATTCATTATATCAGATTTGCTTCTTTCTGTCGTCTTATGTGATCCCCATTTCCATTATATTGATATTATATATACTTATGTTGAAACGTCTTTGGTTTGGTGTCGTCCCCGGCGGACACATGAGCGCAGAGTCCGTCAGATCTAAGAAGAGAGTCACGCGAATGGTTGTCGTCGTTGTCATCATATTTGCCTGTTGTTGGTGTCCAATAAACGT